CACTGCTATATTTCAGCCAGGCCAGGTGGCACCCTTCTTCCTGACTCCTTGAACTTTGCATAATTAAAACGGGATTTTTTGGGGGGCTCACCCAGGACACAACCTCTTGACATTTGCCAAGGATGATGGTGTGGTGCAATTTTGTGTTTTTTCCCCCCTAATGCAGTGGTTCTCAACCTGTGGGTCGGGACCCCATTTGGGGTCTTACGACCATTTCACGGGGGTCGCCAAACAAGGCTGTCCGCCATTTTTCCCCCTTTTCTTTGGCACCCGGTGATGTATAAGTGGTTGGGGGTCACCACAACATGGGGAACTGTATTATGGGGTCGCGGCATTAGAAAGGTTGAGAACCACTGCCCTAATGGATATAGAGTTCAGCTTCACCCCATAGTTGAATTTATTATTTTTATTTTTAAACCGGTCAAGTTGAAAGCTGACCACCTTCACTAGAAAAAAAAAAAAGACAAAAAGTTGTGCTTTTTTCTTTTTCATATTTTTTTAAAAAAAATTCTTTCGGAGTTTTGCGTTTAACTTTTTTTTCCCAAATAAAATAAAAATAGAATAAAAGAAAATAAAGTTGATCGCCGTTCTTTAAAAAAAAAACAAAAAAAAACCATCGATGGTCCCAAATGCCAATGGATGCGCAAATCGACAAGATCGATCCGACCTGTTTATCAAGAGCTTTATTGAAAACCCCGTGTGTTCAATAAAACCTTTTAAAAGAGGTTAAAGTATTGGCATGGGCTAAAACCTGGAGGTGAACGATCGCTCCGGGATAAAGTGCCGGAATCGGCAAAGATTTTTTTAAAAGTTTTTTTTTAAAAAAAAAAAAACAACAGGCGGGGAGGGCTAAAACTGCAAAGCAGAGGGACAATTTTGCGTTGAAGGTGCTGCATCGGGAGCAAAGATGGAATTGCTGAGAAAAGAATATACAGATAGTCCTCAATTTACAACCGTTCATTTAGTGATCATTCGGTGTTATGACGGCACTGGAAAAAAGTGGCTTAGGACCATTTTCCCCACTTATGACCGATGTAGCGTCCCCAGGGTCGCGTGATCAAAATTCGGGCACTTGGCAACTGGCTCGTATTTATGACGGTTGCAGTGTCCCGGGTTCATTTGATCCTTTTCTGTGACCTCCTGATGAACATAAGACAATGGGGAAGCTGGATTAACAACTAGGTTGCTAGCTTAACAACTGCAGCGATTCACTTAGCAAATGTGGCAAGAGAAGTTGTAAAATGGGGCAAAACACACATAACAGCTGCCTCACTTGGCAACATACATTTTGGGCTCAGCCATAAGTTGAGGACTATCAGCATTGAGTTCCTGATCATTTTTGCAACCCCTATGACAGGGGTAGACAACCTTGGCCCCTTCATGACTCATGGACTTCAATTCCCAGAATTCCTGAACCAGCATGGCTCAGCCTGGAAACCTCTCCCTTTCCCCTCAGCATGGCTGGCTCAGGAATTCTGGGAGTTGAAGTCCATGAGTCATAAAAGAGCCAAGGTTGCCTACCCCTGCTCTAGACCTTGGTAAGTTTAAGACTTATGGACTTCAACTCCCAGAATTCCTGAGTCAGCATGGCTCAGCATGGAAACCTCTCCATTTCTCCTCAGCATGGCTGGCTGAGGAATTCTTGCAGTTGAAGTCCACATGTCTTAAACTTACCAAGGTCTAGAGCAGGGATAGGCAACCTTGACTCTTTTATGACTCGTGGACTTCAACTCCCAGAATTCCTGAGCCAGCAGGGCTCAGCTTGGAAACCTCTCCCTTTCCCCTCAGCATGGCTGGCTCAGGAATTCTGGGAGTTGAAGTCCACAAGTCATAAAAGACCCAAGGTTTCCTACCCTTGCCCTATGATAATAATGGCAGAAAGAATGGGGTGAGGAGTTCCATAGGGACTATTTAAGTGAAAAGAGAGCAACACCCACTTTTTTTGGGTGGGAGGGACAACTAATCCATGCCCAAGGCTATTCAAGATTTATAGGAGGAGAGCAATTCCTACGGGCTGCATAAGACCCCCAATCTTGCTTTAAAATATCTAGTATGGTCTACTCTTCCAAGGGCTACAGAATGAAGGTTGAGTTGGATCTTCAGGAATCAGCTGGACAATCTTACACTGAGTCCAGTCCAAAACCAGCAAGAGATTCCAAAGTCCAGCCTTTCCTATTTTAACTCCTGGTGGACGGTCGCTTCACTATGTGCCAGCAGTGTGCAGCAGCAACCAAAAAATCTAATATATTTTGTATAAACAGAGGCTTAGGACCAAGATCAGGCGAGGTATTAGTACCGCTTTATAAAGCCCTAGTAAAACCACAGCTGGAATACGGCAGCCAATTTTGGTCACCGTATCACAAAAAAAAAAGATGTTGAGAGACTGGAAAGAATTCAGAGAAGAGCAACTAAGATGATCCAAGGCCTGGAGATCAAACCGTACGAAGAACGGCTGTGGAACTTGGGTTTGGCCAGTCTGAAGAAAAGAATAGGAGAGACATGATAGCAGTGTTCCAGTATCTAAGGGGCTGCCACAACGCAGAGGGGGACAGGTTGTTCACCAGAGCACCAAAGGGAAGGATGAGAAACAATGGTTGGAAGCTGATCAAGGAGAGAAGCAACCTGGAATGAAGGAGAAATTTCCTGACAGTGAGGACAATCAACCAGTGGAACAACCTGCCTCCAGAAATCGTGGGCGCTCCATCACTGGAGGGTTTCAAGAAGTGGCGAGACAGTCACTTGTCTGAGATGGTATAAGACCTCCTGCTTGAGCAGGGGACTGGACTAGAAGACCTCCAAGGTCCCTCCCAGCTCTTATTCTATTCTAACCTGTAATCTCATCCTATGGAAGGAGTCTAGGACTTAATTAAGATTCGTGGTTCTTCTGGTCTTCCTACAATCTCACGAAAGAGAAGACTCTCAGGCTGAAGAACAGCAGCGTGTATGAGAAACCAAGAACTTCTCCACTTCAATGGTCTAAATTATAGGTGTCCAACCTTGGTAACTTTAAGACTTGGGGACTTCAACTCCCAGAATCCCGCAGCCACTATATGAATTCTGGAAGTTGAAGTCCACAGGTCTTAAAAGTTGTCAAGGATGGACATCCCTGGTCTAAACCAACGGAAGATGGACCCATGGTCACGACCACCCCATCTTCACCAGAAAACTTTCGGACCGCCTCAAAGCTTGGTCCTTTGGGAGGACTGGAGCAAACCAGAGGGAGAAGGAAAATTCAGAGGAAGAACGGGATCCTAAAGGATCCGCGGGTGGCTCCCACAATGGCAGTCTACCTCCTTCTCTAGCAGACACCCCAAAACAGATGCAAGGCAACAATTTTTGTGTTGCCTTTATGCTACACCAGAGACGGACCTCCCTGTTGTTCTTCGTGCCACTGGCTACCCTTCTGAGATACGTATTTATTTGCTTATCCAATTTTAAAACCGACGCATCTGTTATATTCTGAATAAGACAGCTACGTTGAGTGGAAAATGACTGCCGGTTCTGGAATCTGCAATCTTTTTCTTTTTTTAAAACCAATACTGCCTCTTTTTTTTTTAAATAACTGAGCAACGGCAAGGGGGAAAGCTGCGAAAACCGAAAACTCAGAAGGCGAAACACGCATTACCAGGGGTGGGTGGAAATAATTACTGATTTGTCTTTATTTACAGCATCAAGGCGCGGAGGTTGCAGAACAGACGAAAGCCTTTTAGACCAAGGAAACACCGAGTACGCTAATTTTGCCCTACAGGTCCGGGGCTTTCTCTCTGGACCACGAATGGAGCAGCTCCGACGGAGGAGAGGCTCGATTTTGTTTCAGAGAGTAAGCAAATAAAATGAAGAAGAGGAGAGGGAACGATACTTCAGGTGGACTGTATCCAATGGACCCTGGATTGACTGATTGATTTTAAAGAGGCATCTCCTATCCAAGGGTCATTAACTGGGAAACAAATCGTTGAAGTGCAGAGTGCAACTCTGTGCCTGCCTAAAAAGACCAGGGAAATAGTTCATAACTCCTGGGGAAAGTATTGTTGGGATATGCCCCGCCCCCCAGTTTATTTATTTATTTATGAGACTTATATACCGCTTTAAGTGCAAGCACTCTCTAAGCGGTGTACACCAGTAAGCAATGTATATATATATATATATGTATATTTACATTGCCCCCAACACTCTGGGTCCTCATTTTACCTACCCCGGAAGGATGGAAGGCTGAGTCAACCTTGAGCCGGTGAGATTTGAACCGCTGACCTGCTGAACACAGTCAGCTAAAGTGGCCTGCGGTGCTGCACTCTAACTGCTGCACCACCTCAGTTTCCGTTTCAACAGGTTGTTTTGCAAATGGAAAATTACACAGCGCTGGCATGGCCTTGCATGTGTGTGTGTGTGAGAGAGAGAGGGAGCGAGGAAGGAAGGAGAGGGAGAGGGAGAGAAGGAGAGAGAGGGAAGAAGGAAGGGGAGGGGAGAGGGAAAGGGAGAGAGGGGGAGGAAGGAAGGAGAGGAAGAGAGAAAGGGAGAGGAGAGGGAAGGACAGAGGGAAGAAAGAAAGGGAGAGGAGGAGGAGAGAGGCAGGGAGGAAGGAAGGAAAGAGAAAGGAAAGGGAGAGGCAGTGAAAAGGAGAGAGAGGGAGGAAAGAAGGAGAAGGAAAGGGAGATGACAGAGGAAAGAAGGAAAGGGAGAGGAGAGGGTGAGGAAGACAGAGGGAGGGAGGGACGGAGGGAGGAAGGAAGGGGAAAGGAGTAGGAGAGGGACAGTGAAAGGGAGAGAGGGGGAGGAAGGAAGGAGGGAGAGGGAAAGGGACAGAGGGAGGAAGAAAGGAAAGGGAGGGGGAGAGGGACAGTGAAAGGGAGAGAGGGGGAGGAAGGAAGGAGGGAGAGAAGGAAAGGGACGGAGGGAGGAAGGAAAAAAAGGGAGAGGAGTGGGAGAGGGCCAGTGAAAGGGAGAGGGGGAGAGAGAGAGGGAGGAAGGAAGGAGAGGGAAAGGGCGAGAGTGTGGTAGGGAGGGGGAAGAGGGAGGGAGGAAGGGAGGCAGGAAGGGAGGGAGGAAGGAAGGGGAGGGAAAGAGGGAGGGGGGAGAGACTAACCCTTGGAAAACGGTTTCCCCCACTAAAAAAAAAAATCAAAACTCAGTAACGAAGCACCCACCCTTTGCACAACGGCGTGACTTTTTCCGCCCTCTTCAGCCATGAAATCCTGGCGGAGGAAAAAAACCTCCAGAAAGTTCCGACTAACACTCCATGCGGTTTATTCGAAAGGTGGCGTCTCTTAACATGATTCGGGGGGGAGGGTCAGAGAGGCAAGCTACTCTCTTCGGCTTTTCTAAGGGAGGGGAGAGAGGAAGAGACAATCGTGGGTCAGACAAATAATTTAAAAGCGAGATCCTGAACACGTCAACACACGCAGACGAGAAAAAAGGGAACAAGTCCTCGGAGGCGCCCCCCCCCGCGAGACCCATCAAATGAAAAAGATTTCCTCCAAAATCCGGCTCTCTTCCAAATCGGCCAGCCCGTTCTTGGCCCTGGACGACTTGCAGTTCCAGCTGGGTTTCCCACAGATCCTGCTCTGGGGCTGGATTCCTCCGGGGAAGCCGTGGTGATCTTCCTGCCTTGGGCTCATGGCAGCCACCAGGTCCAGGAGAGACGTCTCGTATCTGGAGAAGAGAGGACAAGACGGGAATGGATTTCATTAACAGGGAGGACAATTCACCAGTGGAACAGCTTCCCTCCAGAAGTTGTGGACGCTCCATCACGGGATGGTTTTCAAGAAGAGACTGGACAGCCACTTTGCCTGAAATGGTTTAGGGGGTCTCCTGCTTGAGCAGGGGGTTGGACTAGAAGACCTCCAAGGTCCCGTCCAACTCTTGCCATTCCCTATTCCATAGTCTCCAAATCTGGCAGGAGGTATCTAAAGCACATCTAAACCATATTCCATGATACCCTGCTGGAACCGGGTATATTTAATTTAATGAAAAGAAGGACTAGGGGGGACATGATAGCAGTGTTCCAGTATTTGAGTGGCTGCCTCAAAGAAGAGGGAGTCAAATTATTCTCCAAAGCACTACAGCAGTGGTTCTCAACCTGTGGGTCGGGACCCCATTTGGGGTCGAACAACCATTTCACGGGGGTCGCCAAACAACGCAGTCCGCCATTTTCCCCCCCTTTTCCTTAGCTGTGCTACTCCCTTTTATTCTATTGGCTTTTGAAAGCCAATAGAATAGACTCTCTTGAATAGAGTCTAATTCTATTGGCCTTCAAAAGCCAATAGGAATTGTCCAGACTGCCTCTGCCCTGCTGAGCCCGCCAAAAGTCCCATTCTGCAAACGGTGCTGCACCAGTTTAGTCCTCGACTTACGACCGGTTGAGTAGTCCTCGACTTACGACCGGTTGGGGGGGGGGGTCACGGCATTAAAAAGGTTGAGAACCACTGCACTAGAGGGCAGGACAAGAAACAATGGTTGGAAACTGATCAAGGAGAGAAGCAACCTGGAATTAAGGAGAAACTTCCTGACGGTGAGAACAGTCAATCGGTGCCAGGACTTGCCTCCTGAAAGTGTGGGTGCTCCATCCCTGGAGGTTTTGAAGAAGAGATTGTCTGAAATGGTATAGGGTCTCCTGCTTGAGCAGGGGGTTGGACTAGAAGACCTCCAAGATCCCTTCCAACTCTGTTCTTTTACTCTATTCTAACTTGACTGGTTTTCTCTCTTTTAAAATAATGCTCAGGTTCACTACAGACAGGAACGTAGGAAAACTTTTATCCTATAGTTGTATGGATTGATTAAGTAGCTTCTAACATTTCTGAAACTGAAAATATAAGTTAAAAGAAGTAGGCTGGAGATTCACGATGTTCTCCATGTCAATTTGGAGAGTTCCTAGCAGTCTTCTCCTTATTGGCCCCAAGAGATATTTTGAGATCAACCCTTCAAGATATAGATTGGCCTCGACTTACAAGCATTCATTTAGTGACCAAAGTTACAACACCCCAAAAAGTGACTTGTGACTGTTTTTCACTCTTACGCCCATTGTAGCATCTGTCCACGGTGATGTGATCAAAATTCAGACATTGAGCAACCGGCTCATATTTATGACGGTTGCCGTGTCCTGGGATCATGCGATCCTCCTTTTGTGATCTTCTCACAAGCAAAGTCAAATTCACTTAATAACTGTGTTATTGATTTAATGGTTGCAGTGATTCGTGTTACAACTGCAGCAAGAAAATCCAGTTGCCATTTGGAAAAAAAAAAGCACCTTCTCGTGCGTGATTTTTTTTCACTGACTCTTTTGCATCCCTCTTATTGAATTTCCCAAATATTATTATTATGCCCTAGGGACCGTCGTCAGCTAATCCGAATCCTTTTGAGAAGTAGTTAGGCCTAAACCAGGGGTAGGCAACCTTGGCTCTTTTATGACTGGTAGACTTCAACTCCCAGAATTCCTGAGCCAGCCATGCTGAGGAGAAAGGGAGAGGTTTCCAAGCTGAGCCGTGCTGGCTCAGGAATTCTGGGAGTTGAAGTCCAGGAGTCATAAAAGAGCCAAGGTGGCCTACCCCTGGCCTAGTCTATTAAGCCTGACAGGAGTAGATTATCAGAAACTGGTAGGCCTAGTCCATGGATAGGCAGCCTTGGCTCTTTGATGACTCGTGGACTTCAACTCCCAGAATTCCTGAGCCAGCCACGCTGAGGGGAAAGGGAGAGGTTTCCAAGCTGAGCCATGCTGGCTGAGGAATTCTGGGAGTTGAAGTCCACGCATCATAAAAGAGCCAAGGTTGCCTACCCCTGACCTAGGAGCTTCATGATCTCAAATGGAGTCCTGAGAGATTTTTTTTTCAAAGATGCAATTAAATCCCACCCAGAGCCTGAACCAAAGCCACTCATTAATCATTAATCATGACCTCCAGATCTAATTAAGATGGGCTAGGAATAAACATGCTGTCACAAATACTGTTAGTAAATGTTTATAATGCTTTGGTAAGAACACAGTTGGAATCCTGCATCCAGTTTTGGTCATCACGAGGTAGAAAAGATGTTGAGACTCTGGAAAGAGTGCAGAGAAGAGCAACAAAGATGATCAAGGGAATGGAGGCTAAAACGTATGAAGAACGGCTGCTGGAATTGGGCATATCTAGTTTAATGAAGAGAAGGATGAGGGGGGACATGATAGCAGTCTTCCAATCTGTCAGGGGCTGCCCCAAAGAAGAGGGAGTCAAGCTATTCTCCAAAGCACCTGAAGGCAGGAGAAGAAGCAATGGATGGAAACTGATCAAGGAGAGAAGCAACCTAGAACTAAGGAGAAACTTCCTGACAGTTAGAACAATTAACCAGTGGAACGACCTGCCTCCAAAAGCGGTGAATGCTCCAATACTGGAAGATTTTAAAGAAGAGACTGGACAGCCATTTGTCTGAAATGGTATAGGGTTTCCTACCTGAGCAGGGGGTTGACTAGATGACCTCCAAGGTCCCTTCCAACTGTATTATTCTGTTAATTAACCAGTGGAACGAGTTGCATCCAGAAGTTGTGGGTGCTCCAACACTGGAAGTTTTCAAACAGGGCAGCCATTTGTCTGGAATGTTGTAGGGCAGGGGTAGGCAACCTTGGCACTTTTATGACTCGTGGACTTCAACTCCCAGAATTCCTGAGCCAGCCATGCTGAGGGGAAAGGGAGAGGTTTCCAAGCTGAGCCATGCTGGCTCAGGAATTTTGGGAGTTGAAGTCCACCAGTCATAAAAGAGCCAAGGTTGCCTGCCCCTGGTATAGGGTCTCCTGCTTCAGCAGGGGGTTGGACTAGCAGACCTCCAAGGTCCCTTCCAACTCTGTTAATCTTCTACCACCTGGCTTCCTCATAAATTGGCCCATCTCCAATTTTCTCCAATATCCCCAATTCCCATGTTGCTAGTCCTGGAGGTGATGTTTATAATCAGCTTAGAGGTTGTGTGGAAAGGAGAGAAGGGGGGGGGGAAACCCCTCCAGTTAAAGCCCAGCCATGTCTCTATTTTGGGGGACAAATCACCCTGGAACTACATTTTGCACTAAGCTTTATCTAGGCTTTACAGCATTGCTGCTATGGGGGGGGGGGAATTAAAAGATTTGGGTAGATAACAGGAGCTGCAAATACGGGAAAGATTATTTAAAAGAGCCGCATTGGAAATCAGTTTATTTGACACTGAGGCACCTATCTAGGCAAGAAACAAGGCCGCCCTTATCTGATAGGGAGAAATGTTCCTTTTGGCTATTTAGTGGTTAATCTCTGGATAGAAGAGTTTGTCCTGGCTTGTCAGGTGTCATCACAAAGCCTTTTTGCCTTGAGGCAGCCGGAGATCCTCTTTAAGACCACAAAAAGCCAGTTCCTTCCATATTTATTCCAAAGGAAACATTTAAAGGGAAAGCACCCATTTGCTCTGCTGGAGGAATGATTTTTTTTTTTTTTTTTGCAAACAAAAGCTTCAGGGATTGCAAAGCAATATTCGTCGTCAAGTGGTCAAGTCATTGTGAACTTTGAAAGGGTCAGGTCTGCTCATCCGGATTTCCAGCTCTCCTAGCATAATACGCATATGCATGATCCCCTCCTGCATACAGAATATAGAATAAGAGAATTTAAAGGATCCTGGGAGGTGTTCTAGCCCAGCCTTCTGCTCAAGGCAGGAGAATTTACACCATCCTGGTCAAAAGGCTGCCCAATCTCTTCTTAAAGGAGTCCAGTGGATGGAGCATCCACAACGTCTGGAGGCAAGTTGTTCCACTGTTTAATTTCTCCTTTCAGGAAATTTCTCCTTCGTTCTAGGCTGCTTCTCTCCTTCTCCTGGTTATTTCTTGTCCTTTCTGAAGAAGGTTAGCTCCATGGAGACTTAGGATCCTTGGATCCTTCAAGCGGAGAACTAGGGATATTCTGAAAGATTTAGAACAGTGGTTCTCAACCTGTGGGTCGGGACCCCATTTGGGGTCAAACGACCATTTCACAGGGGTCGCCAAACAAGGCTGTCCGCCGTTTTTCCCCCCTTTTCTTTGGCCACGCCCCTGGCACTCGGTGATGTATAAGTGGTGGGGGGTCACCACAACATGGGGAACTGTATTATGGGGTCGCGGCATTAGAAAGGTTGAGAACCACTGATTTAGAAGATAAGTTACAGAATTCTGTCAGGGAAGAGATGGAGCGTGGGGTCCTTAATGTCTCTGAGATTGGTTGTTTTCTTGCAGACTTTTCATTACCCAACTAGATAGCATCAACAGTGCTACAAGGCAGTGGGGTGTGCGAGGAGGAGGAGGAGGAGGAGGAAGTGGATTTTGCTCTCTGTTTATTCCAATCAACTCAATAAGCCACAGCCCAATCAAGGACCCACCAAGATACTCCTACAACACTGACAGGGCAAGCCAGTTGTATATAAACAGAGAGCACCTCCTTCCCTTCTAGCACTGATGACACTACCTAGTTGGGTCATGAAACGTCTGCAAGAAAACTGCCAAGCTCATAAAGCACCAAGGTTCCTCCTCCTCCTCCTCCACTCTGCAAACCCCACTCCCTTCTAGCACTGATGATGTTACCTAGTCAGGTTATAAAACACCTACGAGAAAACCACCCAAACTCAGAGAGCACCAAGGACACCACCGTTTACATTCATAAGCCTCACCCAGGAAACCTGCTACAAGTCAGCGTGCAGGA